GAAAAATCACCTCAATCCCATTGTTTTTCCCTCTTCCAACCTATGTGTAACAGCAAATCTTTTCACAGTAAAACCTCAACCAAATTTTGATATATTGACAGAGCAGTTTTTGAAAGGAATTACCTCAAATAGGTAAAACTGGACCCAAATTTCAGGCAGAACATAAAGACTTCCAGTTAAAAACTAAAACAAATTAAAAGAAATTAAAAGAAAACTTAATGAAAAGCATTGAGAAAATTCCAAGTAGCCAAATACACCTGTAGTAGCATAAATATTTTTAAAAATCAATATAATGTAACCTATTCTGGATATTTATTTCATTTATTCTGTTAGAATAAACTCTACTCCATTCTAGGTGTATGAATATCACATGTAAATCTTATATTTGACACATAAAAGTCTGAATTAATAAATTTCTGAAGAGTTCTATTAATTAAATAAATTTAATTAATTAGCACAAACTAATGTCTTTTATATATATATAAAAAACAATGCTCAAATTTGCACAGGAACTTTATATTTGGGATGGACAGAACACACAGGGGCTTTTCCAATGTGAAACATCAGGAACAGAACACTTCCTGACCTTATTTTGGGGATTTGAGGATAGTTTGGGAGATTTTGTGTGTGTCCAGAACATTCAGGCTGAGACAAACACTCAACTGATCCTTGTTTGTTTGTTTTCCATTGTTTGCAGGTTTGCCAAGCTTTAACTGCTTGGAAGAAGTTTTCTGTCCTGGGTGTTGCTTCAGGCTGATTTTTTATTCTTTAAACCTCCCCTATCTTTTTTTTTTTCATCTGTTTTAAGTGGAAGGAACAAGGAGAATTTGGGTTTGTTTTGTTTGTTTCTTTTTTTCTTTGGAAGGGTAATATTTTGGACAGGGAAATTTATAAGCAACTTCAAGTTTCAAAGGCTGAAAACAGCAGCAAAAAAATATTTCTTGCTTAGACTGTCACAAGAAAGAACTTTTTGTTGCCTTTTTTATGTTGCTTTTCAAGGCAGTGAAATTGGTATGCAATAAATTAAATACACCAACTCTGTGGTATTAATTTTTACCCAGATTCCAGATTCCGAGCATCACCTTCTTAGCCAAAGGGACAATAACACAAGGTTTTATAGGCAACACGGATCTGTTCCAGGGGGGAAAAAATTCCTTAAAAGTTACTTCCAAAGTGAGAAAATTTTCCAAGCATTTGCTGTTCCTTTTCCCAACTGTCCTAAAGTCCAAGCCCAGGGCTCTCTGCAGCAGCTTCCAGTTGTCCTTGAAGGCCATGGCTGAGGGTATAAGGGAATGCTGGGATGAGAGGAGTTTTCTCTGAAATTCTGTTTTTCAGAATTGGCTCGGAGTTGAGATCACAGAATTACAGGAACACAGAAATCACAGAATCCTGGAATGGGTTGGGTTGGAAGGGACCTTAAAGCTCCTCCAGTGCCACCCCCTGCCATGGCAGGGCCACCTCCCACTGTCCCAGGAGCTCCCAATGTCCAGCCTGGCCTTGGGCACTGCCAGGGATCCAGGGGCAGCCCCAGCTGCTCTGGCAATTCCATCCCAGCCCCTGCCCACCCTGCCAGGGAACAATTCCTGCCCCAGATCCCAAGATCCAGCCCTGCCCTCTGCCACTGGCAGCCATTCCCTGGCTCCTGGCCCTGCAGCCCTTGGCAATTGTCTCTCTCCAGCTTTTTTGTCAGCTTCTTCAGGTCCTGGAAGCCTTTTCAAGACATCTGGAAAAGAACTGCACACACTGCTCAGTATACATAGAACTATGGATTTATACCAGGGCAGGTGTGCTACAATGTTCTCTGGTTTGTTCTTTATATTGTGTTCTTAATTCCAAATATTTGATTTGTTTCTCTCAGTAAAAGGGAACAATGTGCCAATATTTTCATGGAAATATTAATCAGAACCCAAAGATCTCAGCTGTGAGTGGAAAAACAACTAAGAGCCTATCCTTATGGACACAGAATTTCCCCCTGTGTGAACCACTTTACTACATCAGATTTTATCTGCCAATTTAGTATCCAGTCACTCGCTCTTGCCAGGTCTTTATCCAGTTCTCCAGCCAGCCCTTTAACTGCACCTCAGTTTGTCCTCTACCTTTCCTTTACCTGAATACCTCAATACCTTCAGCAGTCTGTGGTGTCTCCCAGCTCAGCCCCTCTCCAGATCATTGAGGAATACATGAAGCAGCACTGGTCCCAGCACAGCTCCCTGCAGACTCCTCCTGTGATCTCCCCTTCTCTGAAAACTGACCTTTTTGTTCTGTTTCATTTCTCTTTCATCCTGACAGTTTTTGATCCATTCTTCTCTTGCTTCTTTTGCATAAAGGCTTTTTTTTTAAAAAAAATTGTTTTCCACATGATGCTTTGTCTGGGAAGATCATTGTCCCAGGAAATCCTGGGAGCACTTAAACATGGATCTTCATGTTTGCCTTCCACACCTGGTTAGTGTGGAACACACTGCAGGCAGTTCTTGGACAACATGGATTTGGGACAACATGGATTTCAACTCGAGTCTGCGTCCAGTTGTGGCTGGTGCAGAAGAGCCCTGGAGGGGCTGGAGCGTGTCCAGGGCAGGGAACGGAGCTGGGAAGGGGCTGGAGCCCCAGGAGGGGCTGAGGGAGCTGGGAAAGGGGCTGAGCCTGGAGCAAAGGAGGCTCAGGGGGCCCTGGTGGCTCTGCACAAGTCCCTGGCAGGAGGGGACAGCCGGGGGGGTCGGGCTCTGCTGCCAGGGAACAGGGACAGGAGGAGAGCTCAGGCCTCAGGCTGGGCCAGGGGAGGCTCAGGGTGGACAGCAGCAGGAATTTGCCCATGGAAAGGGAGCTCAGGCCTTGGCAGGGGCTGCCCAGGGAGCTTTGCAGTGCCCATCCCTGCAGGTGCCCAAGGAAGGGCTGGACGTGGCACTCAGGGCTCTGGGCTGGGGACAAGGTGGGCATCGGCCACAGCTGGGACTCCATGGGCTGGGAGGGCTTTTCCAGCCTCAGGGATTTTGGGATTCTGTGGAACTGTTGCACTGTAAACTCGGAGGCAAGAACAGAAATTTTAATTCCCTAATTCCATTCTCTGTGATTTTGCTTACCCTGTGTGTTCCTTTAACACCTTGATGATCTTCAGGCCCTGCTCACTCTGCTCCTTACCCTGACAGAAAGGATTTGGTTTTTTGAGTCATTCCTCAAGCTCAGCTCAGAAATCACAGAACCATGGAATTGTTTGGGTTGGAAATGACCTTAAAGCCCATCCAGTGACACCCCTGCCATGGGCAGGGACACCTCCCACTGTCCTAGGCTGCTCCAAGCTCTGCCCAGCCTTCTATGAAAATTAATTTCATACTGTCCCTAACTCCAATCCAAAATACTGAAAATATATCATTAAAAACATTATATCACTAAACATTTTTGGTTGATGTCTCCTATCTATAATGTACCAATGGAAAAATCTATTTAAGGCACTGAGTTACTGAGTTTTCCTCCTATTTGACAAATAAAAAAACCTAAAAATCTGTGTTCACTGCCTCAGGAAGCTGCAAGCAACCTGAGTTAATCTCCTGCCATTAACACACCTCACACAGCACCCCCACTTACACACTCCTTACAACCAGGAGAAAGAGCTGAGCCATGAATTGTAATCTTACACTTGGAGTTTCAAAAGCTATTTATGTCACAGGAAAAATGTAAACAGCTGAGGGTGTGGAGATCACTCACTGGTACCATTTTTTTCCTTTGGTCCCAAATCAATATTTAAAAAAATTAAATTAAAAATTCTGTTCCATTTTTCAGTCCCCTTTGAGGTCACTACAAAACTTTGTTTCCACATAAATGCTGGGCACTGCAATTTCTGTTTAATACAACTCTCAATGTTTTCAATATCTGGATAAATCCCAAATTGTTTTTCAAGGGCTCTCAGCACTCTTAAGAGTCAATTTTACACATTAACTTTGCATGATTATTTTAATATTATTTGAAAATCCTTTTAACAAAACACTTTTTTTTTCACACTGTCTACTACAATTCATTGCTGCTGGCAGAATTTACAAGTTTTAGTTGGAATGTGCATTTGTTTTGTATTTATTTGGGGTTTTATTTTCCATACCTGTATCCTGCCATAGGTTATCTGTCAAATTCCCAAACAATTCCTCCATATCCATCAGTTCTCACACACATGCCTGCAAAATTCACTATTTTGTAAAAAGGGTTTTTTTTCACAACATTTTTAAAGATATCAACTTGCCCATCATCATTCAGAATCTCACAACATCCAGTAAAAACCTTTAACTAGGAAAAATTACCTAATTAATACCTAATTATTTAATTCTTTAATTTCTTTTCTGATTCCTAAGTACTTTTTATTCAGGATATTCAGTCATTATTTTCTTTCCCTGCCAAATTCTTACAACATATATATATATTTTATTTTTTTTTTAATATCTAAACCACTTGTTTTGTTTTATCCACTGTTTTTGTCATCTCTACACATTTCATAACATTATTTTCCTTATTTGCTAATTCTCCTGAGTGGCAAGTGAAGCTCAGTGCAATTTCCAGTCAGTTCAAGCCTTTTTTAAAGTATCTAATGACAGTTCCTCTGAGAGAATTCCCTTCAAAACTGTGTATTTTGGCTGGAAAATTAGTTCATTCTTAAATACCTTTAAAAATCTTTGACCAATATTATATTTTATGGAGTTATTTACTTTTACTGTACCTCTGTCAATTAAAACACTTCATTTACACTTTTTTTCCTGGATGTTCCCCCAGCTTTGTTTCATCTCAATCAGCTTTTCTCACCTTGCTGAGTGAATAAATAAGTTTATTTTGCTGCCTTCTGTAGTATTTTCTCATTAGTTCTTTGAAGTCTTATATACTTTAAAGCATAATTTTTAATGAAAAGGAAATTTCTGTGCAGTGGGGAAATGTTTTAGAAAATATTGGTGAGATTTAATGTGTGTACAGTCCCTCTATGTGGTACAGAGATTTTAATTTCTTTTTTATTACCTTCCTCCTTTCAGGAACACCACCACTTGTGTGATGCAGTGCTGGGATTTGCTGATTTCTTCACCAAAAATAATGGATTTCAATTTACTTCCTGATGTTCAGGGCATCACTTCATTCTTCTCCTCCCTCCTTGGTGTTAAAGAACAGCCTTTCCACACAGGTGCTCTGAAAAACAATTTGTCAAATGTGCTTATAGAAACCATGGAATCATCTCAAAATTGTCCAACACATGAACCAGATTTGAAATTACTTTTTTATTAGACTTAATCATCTCTGAGCTCCTTAAAAGTGTAGTTTTTGTCATTGACTTTGTATAAACAGTAAAACTTCTCCCATTGAATTCCTTAAGTCAAATCCTTTCCAATCCAAACCATTCTGTGACTTTACATGACTGGACTCAGAGCAGAGATTTCAAAAGTAATAAAAAAAAAAAAAATAAACTAAAACTAGAAAAACAGGTTCTGGGTAGCAAAAAAAAAAAAAAAAAAAAAAAATTTGGGTAACCCCAGGTTCCCTATGGTTATTCCAAGTGAGGAATGCTGTCATTCTGAACCAATTAATCCACACATTTCAGCTCTGGATTGAGGCAAAAATAGAAATGGAATTATTCTAAACAATTTAAATCTATTTGTTAAATGATGTCCCAGAAATAATAGGTAGAAAAATGGAAGGGGTTTGGAAGTGGATGATCTTTAAAGTCCCTTCCAACCAAGCCATTCCACGAAGATTCTGTGATAATGAGGAACATAAACAAATGTATGGATCATTCTAAATTCATACAGTTTTTCCCCTTACTTTCAGTTTAGGTTAATTTGTTATTTGAGTTCTTCTATTCAGTTCTGGCTCAGCAAAACTTGAAAACAACAAATGAAAAACTAGGTCAAGTTTGGATCTGGTTGACTCCACAAGTGGAGCTACATCCAAAATGGATTTGAGCAAAATTTGTACCCCCCTACTTAGTTCATTAATGATAAACTCAGGAATAATCAGAATACATTTATTTAATCCTTTTCTTGCAGCTGAACACAGCAATGCATGAACCCACAGGAGTAACAATTATAGAAACTGAGTGATTAAGAGCTGTCCAACTGCAGTAGCAATGACAATTCTATATTAATTCAGAGCTCCTCAATCCCAGAATCCTGGAAGAGTTTAGGTTGGGACAGACCTCAGAGCCCACCCAGTGCCAGCCCAGCCATGTCAGGGACACCTCCCAGTGTCCCAGCTGCTCCCAATGTCCAGCCTGGCCTTGGGCACTGCCAGGGATCCAGGGGCAGCCCCAGCTGCTCTGGCAATTCCATCCCAGCCCCTGCCCACCCTACCAGGGAACAATTCCTGCCCAAGATCCCAAGATCCAGCCCTGCCCTCTGCCACTGGCAGCCATTCCCTGGCTCCTGGCCCTGCAGCCCTTGGCAATTGTCTCTCTGCAGCTTTCCTG